TTTAGAGACAGACCACAAACCTGAGAGGTTGGCCAAGGAAATATTGGATAATTTTTCATGGAATTTTTAGGACACGTGTTAATATCGAGATATATTGAGACTGCTCTTGTCAAAATTTCACCCACTTACCTATTCTTTTTGGATTATATATACAAGCCCATCTTGTTAAAAATAAAAAATAAATTCCCGTAAATAAAAATTTAAAAGCAAGCAAGAAAACTATGCAAAGAGCATGGGGAATCCCCGTCGGCCTACAAGAAAAACTACCAGAAGCCCAAAAGCGTGAAACGAGAGTATTTAAACAAGGTCCCCCAACCAAAAGCTTACCAAGCCAACCCTTGCATTGCTTTTGAAAATGAATAAGTGTTGTAAATGCAAAACTGGCTCATGGACTTGGATCACTCCGGCCCGAGTCCTCCCGGCTAAGATATTGATATTAGAGGAATTTTAACATGGTCCGAGGACCGAGACTATATTATCCCAGTCAATCATTACGCAAGTAACTATGTTCATTTCATTTAAATTTTTGTTTGTGTATCGAGAGTTCTATAGGCAAAATCAAGTAATTTCAGATTTTGATGATATGTAACTCTCAGGATTTCATGATATGAATTTTTATGTATCAACTTCCGATGCCTAACACGTTTGAATCCTATTTTTTTTTTTTCCTAATTGGGACTCACACATACTACCTCCACTGAGGTTCGAATCCCTGACCTCTCTTTGAAAAGTAAGAGCCTTATACCGCTAGCCCATAGGCCTGTTGGTTAATCCTAATATTGGGATTTAAGAAAAACAAAAAATAAAAACAAAAACATATGTTTTTTTTCAAAATATATATGTATTATATTAATATTAACAAAAATATATGCTTTTTTTTATATGTTATGTTCCATATCCAAATAAATAATTCTTGCAAAAAATCCCGAGTATAAAATAAGATTGTTGTAGTAGATTCTTAGATTGCTTATTTCTCTCTGGATATGGCGGCTCGTTGCACAAATTTTAAATTTATGGAATCCTTATTGTGAGAGCATTTTGGTCCAAATATTCACTCTTTTATCCCCTAATATAGTTGGAGGGAGGGGGGTTTGATAAAAAAAATTAGTTTAGGGGGGTTACTGAAAAAGTCAATAAAAAAAATGAATAAAGATTAGGAGTATAAAGATAATAATTGCAAGGTCATATACTGTTTGATATATAATCATAATAAAATATAAAATATAAAGAAAAAAATTGTATATTCCCATATACAGGGAGAGAAATAGAATGAGAGAATTGTAGGCTGAATGGTATAGCAAACCTTCAAAAAAAAATTTAAATTTTAAAATCTATTAAGTGTATTTACTATTAAGTTCATGGCTTTCTTATTGGATGGGTCTGGATGCTAATGAAATTAAACAAAAGGATTGTAACAGCCATTTTTTTTTTTAATTTTATTAAAATTAATCTATTGCCATCTTTAAACCGCAACACCACATTAATAAAGAATTGAAGTTCTTCTATTGGTCATAGGACAACCTATATTTATTTCAGCAACTATTATCAACATAAAATGCTATTAACGCATGTAAGACAAGAGATTGAGCTCTACATATTTAACCACAAAATTAAAATCGAGATTTACCAATAGTCAGATGTGGCTCTTGTTATGTTGAGCAACTCTTTTATAGTATTTCTCTAATCTTAATTACTAAAGGCATATATATATATATATATATATATATATATATATTGAATTAAAGTAACTTTATTTGTGAGAGACCAGCTTAATTACAACTTGTTAGTGTTAATTAAAATGAAGCGGTGTCAATTATGTTCAAATGAGCATATTTCTCATGATATTTTTGATGATATATATATATATATATATATATATATATATATATTTGTAAATATACAAAAACATATTATTTGCACTATGTTCAAATGAGCATATTTCTCATGATATTTTTTATGATAATTTTCTTTTTTTGTAAATACACAAAAACATATTATTTACATGAAAGTTAGTATATAAAAACGTAGCTTGAAGTGAATTTCTTGGTAGATTGAGAAAATGTCAGTTACATAACAAATAATATGTGTGAAATGATTCCTATATACAATTATTTTTCTTATTTTAAAAAACCTTAGTGCAAGTGATGTATAGGAGGAACTAAAGAGTGAGAATACCAAACAAATAAAAGGAACGCTGCAGTGAATTTGTTGGTATAGTGAGAAAATGTCAGTATATACAATTATTTTTTTTATTTTATAAAACGAGTTTGATGTATAGGTTGAAAAGGTACCTTCAGTAGGGATTCTTGAGAAAAAAAGAATGAAGGTTTGAAGAATACCAAAGTAGTAAATTAAGAAGAGAATATTGGAATTATTTTAGAATTAAAATTTATGAAATTTGAAAGAAAAAAAAAATCATTATTTTGAAGTATTTTTTTTTTTCAACTATAGACCATATGTTGTACACCATAATTCACCGAACAAGCTCACCACAAATTACGGGTTTTGATGATATCAGTGTTTGAGAATATACTTGCATGTATCAGTTTCATGGCATTTGATAAGAGAATAACGTGGCACCCAACAACCAAAAACATGTTCAGTTCACCGAAAGGTTACCTGATTTGAGAAAACTGTTTTACGACATTCATGTAATTTTGCACAAACAGTATACCACAAATTGCCGCTCTTCAGTACAGCGAAAGGTTAATGGATCCTTGTAACAGCGGTTCTGAAAGGCAGCATGTAATTTTGCGGAAAAAAAAAAAATAGCCTAAAGGTTATCTGATTTGAGGAAACTGTTTTACGACATGTAATTTTGCACAAACAGCATACTACAAATCGCCGCTCTTCAGTACAGCGAAAGGTTAGTTGATCCTTGGAGAAGCGGTTCTGAGAGATGCATGTAATTTTGCACAAAAAAAAAAACAATCTGAAACATGTATGAAATTTTGCAAAATCTTGAAAAGTTAACCAACTCCGTCATCAATCAATCTTACACTTTATTATATAATATATTGATATATATATATATATATACACATGAAGATATGGATATACTTCTAGATTTAGAGAGCTCAGGAGGGTGATGAGTTGAGTGAAGAAAAGGAAAAAGAATAAGAGATCCAAATTTTGAGAGACACCGAAGGTTGCCTCTGATAAAGGTAACTCCGATTTATATGAATTTTTTTTTTTCTTTTTTTTTCGTTAATTTGCTGGTTTCAAATTTTATTGACTTAATTCATAAACATTTTTTTTTTCTCTCATTAGATCATATCATCTGCCGTGAACCCAATTGAGAAGAGAAGAAGATAAAGTTTGTATACTGGGAGTTTAGTTTGATTTGTAGTGGGTTTGTCAAATGTTATTGTTACAAGTTTAGTGAAGTGATGGAATACATATCTGGAGCAATTGTTGTGCCATTTTTGCTGGTAGTGATGGAAGAGATAGCTTCAGTAATTGATCTTAATTCCATTAATGCTTGGTAATTTAATTTATAATGAATTGGTTGGTTGGTTTTTCGGTGATACTATTAAGGGTCATACAGAGGCTAATTCGGTTTCAAATTCACCAACTACCACGGATATTTCTGTACCCCTGTGGGGATTGACATCCGTATGTGGTAGAAGGGAAAAGATGGAAGATGCTGTTGTGGCTGTACCGAGCTTTTTCAGAATCAGTGACGACACAACATCCCATTTCTTTGGAGTTTATGATGGATCAGAGGTACACACTTCTATTTCGTTTTACGTTCTCTGTCTCTGTCTTTCATTTTTATTGTTTTTTTTTTTTTTGTTATTTTGCAAAGTTGAAGAATTTTTTATGTCTAAGTGGGTTCATTTCGTATGGGCTTTCTTGGAATAGGTTGCCAATTATTGCCGTGATCGTCTTCATTTGGTTTTGGCTGAGGAGTTCGAAATTGCGAATGAAGACGATTCCTCTAGCGGGAGTGCTGGGAATAGTTGGCGGGAACAATGAGAGAAAAGTGTGTGGAGGTGTTTTACAAAGGTCGACGCCGTGGTTGGAGGAGTCCGTGAACGCATTGGTCCACGGCAGTGATCGCCATTATTTGCAAATTGTGGCGATTCATGTCCTATGTCGTGCAAAACTTCCTCTTCCTCTGTATTTTCTATAAATATTATTATTTTTTAATATGCAATGACCTTTAATTTTAGCGTGATAGAGAAGATGAAAGCTGCAGGGGCATCATTGTTCATTGGCATGGATTGCGGGTTTCAGGAGTACTTGCAACGACGAGGTCCATTGGTACGTGTATCTCTACTTTGCTTGTTAGATTTCTAATCCATTTGTCAATTCAAATATTCAGATTTAACAAAAATTAAAATTCAAAATTTTGTTTGCGTTATTCAGGTGATAGATATTTGAAACCACATATTATTCCCGATCCAGAAATGATGTTTGTTTCTGGAAGAAAAGAAAATGAGTGTCTTATTCTAGCAAGCGATGGTCTATGGGATGTTTTGACAAAGGAGGAAGTTTGTGATGTGGCGCGAAGGCGAATCCTCATGTGCCACAAGAAGAATGGTGCTACACTTTTGCAAAAGCAGAAGTGGGATCCCGAGTTGAACCTGCTGCTCAATACGACCGATGACAATATCTCTTAATTGTGGTCATATATATATATATATATATATATATATGCATACACATTACAATTATATATACTTAAATGATATTATTTACATTGATTTTGCCACTCAAAGTAACAACAAAAACCCCAACCCTGTAACAAACTCATCAAGAAAGGAACTTTGATCCATAAATAAATAATGATTTAACTAATAATTACTAGGAAAACAACAGAACACTGAGGCAGAGGATTATTTCCTTGTGTGTGGTATAAATCAAGCTTTTAATTGCTTAAAGTCTAATGTGACAAAGGAAAATTCTTAATAGATGAGACTCCAAAGACTCCAATTTCAAAAAGTCAAAAGCCATCAAAGCAATCCAAGAGAAGAAAATAAGAAAAAAGCTATATCTTTTTCAAAAACACAAACCTCTTGCATTCAAACCATCATATCCTACCAATTATTATTATTATTATACATCACTCTTTTGTAGTTCAAGATATCACCATACACTCTGTATAAAGGATCAAAAACCCAAAAAAAGTTAAAAACACAAATGGTTAAAGAAATGGAAATTTAAAGAAAATGCAATCACACAAATCGGTTAAATGGTCTCCTCCCAACTGCAGCAGGCATAGAAATGGTTGAATCCACACTCAAATCCCCTATAGAATGCAGAGACTCGTGCTTTTCCAACACCCTTTGAGAAGCAGGGTCCTTGCCAGACTCTTTGTTCCACTTAAAAGACCCAACGGTTGGAGTCAAAGGAAAAGAAAACCTCCGTTTCGACGTCTCGCTGCCCGGAGTCACTGGAAACCTCTCCTTCGGGTTGCTGTTCGTTCTCACTTTGGCTTTAGCTGAAACAGTCGGTACCATGTAGTTTGGAACTGAAAATGGTGGGCAGCTCATGAGGCTGTCATCATCCTTCAATGGCGCATCAAAAGTGGAATTAGCAGGACTCATTCTTGATCTGGAATGTTTCATTCCACTTGAGCCGCTTGGGGGTGGTGTTCTATTTGAAGGGGTATATGGATGTCTTGTCCTCACAGGTACCATTGATCTTGTTGACCTTGGTGTGACTGATTCAAGATTGTCAAACCCGAAATTTTGTTGCTTATAGTTGCTCGATGGAGGTCGAGGGCTTGGTTTTGGCTCTAAAGTTGACCTTGGAGGAGTTGGATGAACATTCTTCATGGCCTGGCTTTCAGAAGCATTTGCTGGAGGGAGCTGACGTTCTAACCAGTTCCACCACCAGGGGAATCCACCAGATCGGACGTCCAATAGTGCAGTTTGGGCTGATCTAGGATTGGCTTTCCACAACTGAGATATAGAAAAGAAAATGAAGGCACAGGTTAACACCCTTCTTCTTTTTTACCTTAGAAATAAAATAAATAAAATTGGGGAGGGGGGAAAGGGATGGTAAGAAACCTAAAATCTGATGCCACAGTGCAGGGCAACAAGCTGCACTGCCTGCTCATTATACATGAAGCTGGACTTGCTAATGGGTCAGTCCTTAATCAATAGAAAATAAAGGTCCAAGGCCACCCCAGCTGGCTCTGTTGTGAGCATATACATGTGTGGCTAAGTGCGTGTATATTTGTGTGTGTTTGTAGACTTGGAAATTAGCTTGAGCCTATACCAACAACAGCAAATTTGTTGCGCTGAGCACATTGATTTTGAACAACAAAACTCAAAGGACATAAATGCCTTCACAAATAGTACACAAATTTAGTTTTAATTTTAAAAGTGAAAACAGAGAGCTTGTGGGCACAAAAAGCTTCTTAACTTTCAACACATCTAAGTTTGATTTTTTTTTTTTTTTCCTGATAAACAACTCTTCTGTGCAAATACTGTTAGGTCAATAGGACTTTAAACTTTAGGTAGATAATTTCATAGATCAAAACATAATTACTATATTTTTGTTTAATTTCTAGTTAGAAATGGTTTAAAAGTGAGCCAAGTGGAAGATCAAGCTACATCAAAGGTCAAATTGATAATCTTTTACGAAAAGGGTAAAAAGGTAAATTACTATTATGCACACTCATAGGTACGTGCATTGCACATACATGGCATGTTAATTTCAATTTTCTAAACTTACTTTGATTTCAAAATATGCATGAGAATACACGACTTTTTTATGAAAAATGTTTCTGCAATATTTTTCCAAGTATCAAAACTGCTTACTGGAGTTGCTTCAATCGATCGAGACAAATGTCAATTGATCGACAATGTTGAAAAGGCAAAATTTAAAAAGAACGCTAACTATTATTTTCTATTCAACTTTAAACACTCCACTAGATTGCCTATACATATATATAATCTCTGGAAACGTAGGTAAAAACATTTTAATGCACGAGTAACATTGTTTTTTTTTTTTTTTTATGTATACAAAAGATCAAAATCTCATTTACAGGATTTATACATATCTTTGAGAGATTACTGGAGAGAACAAATTGCATCTTTCTTTACAACATTCATTATATGCATTAAAATATAGATGAGTTGTTATACGTGTTATATATTCATTGTTGCGCCAACTCAAGATTTTTCCACACATCATAGCAATCAACACCAGATTCTCAACTAGATGACTGGGTGCCCAATGTTATGCACTAGAGAAGCAGATTCACAGTTGTGAAGGACTGTAGACAGATCAGAAAGACGACCTGAATATCTTCGAAATCTTACTTTGTCTAAATATAGCTAGGAGTTCGACTATAGTGAACTGTAACATAGGTTGTCAATTTATTTCTTGATAGCAGATTAGTTGCCTGAACTAGGTCCCATGGTTTTTTGACTCCATTGAGGGTTTTTTCACCTAAATACTGCTCTCCATCTATATATTGTTTTACTACTTTATTTATTTATGGATTGCATCGTCATCATCATTGCCTTTATCCCGTACAAACAGGGTCGGCCACATGGATTCTCTTTTTTTTTTTTCAATCTTTTCTATCATAAGCCACTAGATTAATTTTTTTAAATTATTTTTTATCACTTCATTCCATATTAATTTTGGTTGACTATTTGTGATGGTTCAAAATTGATAATATGTTTCACATTGCTCATATTTGTTTGAATTAGCTTTAAAAAGTTTATTCAGTTAAAATCAAGCTAAAACCAGAATAAAGAAAACAAACAATTGTTCTACAAGACCTATTCACCCTCCCCCCCTCCTCTTCCCTCCCCCTCCTTCTCCTCCTCCCTCGAAGTCTAGCTCATTGGAGCTTGTGCAACTCTATATCAGAGCCTCAGGTTCCAGTTCTTAACGTGTGTGACGTGTTTCACGCACGTTCTAATCAAAACTAGAATACCGTTCAAACTAATAGAAATTGAAGATTTATGAACAATATAATTTTATGTAGCCCAAGCCAATAACATAATTTTCATGTAGTAAACAGAATTGTGAGACACACCCTATGAATTTTATTTGAAGCTCCATTTGGAACGGTGAAAGAACCAGGGGAGGAGAGAATGTTCAAGGACGTACAGAAAATAAACTTTTCTTTCCCTTCCTCTTTCTAAGATCAAAACAGACCCTAATGAGAGGAATTGGGACATGATTAGGATATAATTGTGGAAAACAGAATGAAATAATCCAATGCTGTGGGCAAATTGAGTATTGGTATGGGCATACATACATAGTTCCAGCCCAAAAAGATGGAATTCTCAGTGCAATCAATGCTTAGTTCCATTTGAGCTAGGACTAGCTAAATATACAAATGAGCTGGTGGAGCCCTTTTCAACATGGTGTAATCAAGGATGGGCTGGGCTAAAATAGAGTACAGTACCTGGTGAGAATATGCAAAGGCCATGGCTCTTTCTCTCTTCATGACGGCCTCTACTTTTCTCTGCATCCTTGCCTCTATTTGCTCCTTCGTTAGCAAGCTATCATCCCAATCCTCATTGTGACCTGCCTCAGACTATACCAACACTCCAGTTTAAAACAATAGCATTTCAATTGAAAATCAAAAGCAAAACAAAATAGATATTTGTTCAAGCTTCAGAGTTATATATTATCCCCGACTATGGATTGTTTAATCATCCTTATTGTTTCAGTACAATTGATCCAAAGGCCATCTGAAGGTCATCTGATGGTTTGTTACTGTTTAAGAACTCAAAAAACAATGTGCTCAATTCAAGTTTCTATAAATTTTTCAAGAGATGTGTATTAACACATGTTGTGGAAGGAGGCACCATGGTTTATACAAAAACCAAGTATGGTTTATACAACACATGTTAAGATCAATTTATCCATCAACATGACAAGTTAGCCAAGGGTGCCAAGGCGACAAGTTAGCCTAGGGTGCCAAGGGCGACAAGTCCAGTATATGTCCCCAACGCAAACCTCGAACATATTGAAGTGGCCATTAGAACAATCATTGGTATCATCTCAACTTTATGAACCCAAAACAAAAATTGAATTGATCAATACATCCAATGATAAGGCCAAAGCAATAAGATTTACGGGTCTATTTCATTTAAGATGGCCATCTAATTCAGACATAAATGTATTCACAAAGATATGAAGAAACTTACCATCTGGCTCATGGTCCATTTGCCCAAGCTACCCTCCATTTCCTTATCATTCTTGTAAGATTGGCGTTGGAGGGCCTGGTTTTCTAACATCTGGATCCTGCGAGACTGAATTTGATTTTGAACCCTCACCAAAAGCTGCATGTATTTCATGGCACTCGTTGTTTGTCGCTTCACGTTCTGGCTTCTCACTACTCCTTGAAGCCTCACCAGACCCCTCAAAGCTCTAAAACTCCTCCTTGCCTGTATAACATAGAGCACATTATGTCAGTTTGGTGAGAGTCCAATATGTGAGTTGTAAATCACAAATGGCCAGGTTAAGCTCATAACAATTTACAACTACTGAGGGACTCAAAAAAACAATCTAGTGCCATTCAAAGTCTCTGAGATTGCCTGTCAAAGAGGGCTCAATTAAGGTAAATAAATCAGAAATGTCATGTTGCGATTGCTGTCAAATATTATCTTCAAAAAATTTGAAGCAAAAGTTGTGCCCAATATCAGTGCAATGGTTGAATGTGTGACCCTATATAGAATCCCATACTAACACTTGTTATACGGACTTTGAATTAAACCAACTGTAGTAAAGTCAATCAGAATGTCCAGCAGAGATGGTTCCATAGAAAAGCATGATAAGAGTCCTGACATATGCCAACAAATGGCTACAAGGGATCCAGATAGAAATGATTGTTACCTAATGTTGTCCCCATTAATCGAGGATGTTGAAAAGGGTGGATGGGATAAAGACCTAACCTTTGGCATTATTTGCACAAAGTGACTACTCACAAGATTCGAACTCGCATTCTATGTTTGACAACTTGAGCATTTTACTAGTGTATTAACTATTAAGCAATGGCCCCTACAAACGATTCTGGATGATCACAACTACTCATTCCAACAGTTTTTATTTGTTAGACAGCCAAGCTCATCTGTTTGACTACAGGATTCTATCCTGACACAACCATTTAATATTGAGATTCCTTTGAAATTCTAAAAGGAATATATGGCACAGTACATAGATTGATTCTGATTGAATGATTGAACTCATGTCCATATTGATGTCACCAATGAATATTGTGACCTTAGGTAAATGATATATGGCTTAGATGGAGAAAAGCAGTCAAACGGTTAGGCCTTGTTAAATTAAGTTGTGCCTTCATTTGCCAAGTTTATGCTACATGAGTCATCGTATGAATTCAAAAGCATCTAGATTCAAAAGCATGGAAATTCCATACTCAAACAAGCCATGGAAGATATATATTTTCTGGAATTTAAGCAACAAACAAGGAAAACTAGAAGCTTACCATATAGCCTCTATATGCTGCTTGGATCTTGGTGGCCGAAAGATTGTGATTTCTTAGAGTTGGTTCTGGTCTGTATTTAATTTCCTTATGTTTCTGAACCCTAGGAGAAGCAACCCTTGGAGAAGCAGCCCTTGGAGAAACAGCTCTCGGAGAAACAGCCCTTGGAGAAACAGCCCTTGGAGAAGTAGCCCTTGGAGTAGCAGCTCTTGGAGAAGCAGCCCAAGGAGAGGCTGCCCCTGGTGGCACCAAAGGTGGTGTTTGCGGTTGCTCTGCAGGCGTAGATGGCCTGACAAGTATTTTCTCCTGCTCTGCATCTCCCAATATTTTCTCAATGCTGCTCGGCTCTCTGAAGAGGGGAATGAACGATTTGTTCTCTCCATGCCTTAATATTCCTCGACCCTTCTTCTTTTCCTTGGTGCTTTTCTTCTCTGAACCCTACAAAAATAAGTACTGCTTAAGGGAACCAATGACATGAGCAGTTATACATTTGGGGATTAAATTTGTTGCTTTTAGTAGCCAAATCTGCAACTACTTGCTCTCAAAAGGAATAGAAGTACTTCAAAAATGTTAACCAATGACAAGAACACCTATACATTTGGGAATTAAATTTGACGCTTTTAGAAGCAAAATCTGCAACTACTTGCTCTCAAAAGCAATAGAAGTAATTCATAAATACTAAATAAAAGCACAGATTTTATGTGAAATTTAAGCTGGTAGCATTTTAATGTAGATAGAGCAACTTTAAACAAGAATGACTACCGTATTATACATCTGGACATGTTTGATCAATATATTGGAATTAAAATTTTATGCCACCTAATAACCAATACCATTACAATATGTTTTCTGACAGCTTACTCTGAATTCAACTTTCACTACCCCTTGAACAACTATTAATTTGAGTTTTCTCAATAATTTTCCAGGCCAATAACCTCAAGCAATTTCACAATTGATGCCACAACTTTTTAGGATAAGCTAGAATAAGCAATTCTGGCAGTTGGACCCATCATTTTTTTTTTTCATGGAAAGAATGTTAGGGGTTAGTTGTTAGAGGGGAGGGGGAGAGTGCAAGGCTCGAACATGGGCTCCTGGACACGGGGAGCAACCCAACTACTCGGGCAACACGGCACTTACATTTGGACCCATCATTTACATGGGAAATAAATAAATCAACAAAGAAAAAGAATCTTGAATAGTATATCGCAGATCATCTTCGCTCCACTGAAATTATTATGCTTTTTTTTTCTTTTTTTTTTTCCTATTTTGAGTGAAAATTTTAGATTCTGTTAGCACTTGAAATTGCTTCAAATACACCAAAGTAAGAATTCACTTGCATTGGCTAGTTTCTCTTTGGAGTTGGGTATGAAAACCCTCTTGATTGCAGAAAACCAACTCCCTTTCTTTCCCATGTTTCTAGCATTAGTGATCCTCCCTAAAAGAAATAAATAAACAAAACGAATTAGTATATGCCAGTCTACAAAACTGATTTCAGATTATCCAAAATTAAGATATTATGGTTTATGAAGATAACATATCACTGCAAAAGACAGTCTAGTGAAAAGAATTTTATTAAGTAAAATTCAAAACATAAGAATGTATACACCCTATCGTCCTAAAATTTACATGCAGAAAGCTTTATTCATGTTAAAAGTGCAGAAAAAGAATTATTTTATCTGCATATGATCCCTTACTTCTATATACTCTTCACAACTTCTCCATTTTATAACTATATGTATGTGTGTGTGTGTGGCTCCTATGATCCAATAGGCCAAATCAAGAAAGTGAACAGCAGCTATGAAGGAGATATTTTGAGAAATGACAGATTAGTAAGACATCAAATTCCTCAAAGATTCCTTATTTGGATGAATTTGAGGTTTCAGCTCACTTGAGTGATCGGTGATGAGATTTCGGCTCTGGCCTCGGTTGTGCACCACAAAGAACAACAAAGGAAACAAAAGAAAACCCGTAATATAGATAGAGAAAAAAGGAAGAAAGGAGGGGAATTTTCATGTGGGATTCACATCCTCAGTATGTAGAACAGACACAGCATACTCTCACATTACAAAACCAGTTGCATAGGGTTAAATTGTAACTTAATCAGTTGCATAGGGTTAAATTGTAACTTAATTACCTAGTAAGAGCCAGAATTTCGCGGCAAAATTAAAGAAAAAAATCACATATCTATGAATGTAAATATCTGCAGTCAAATTCTAGTGATATATAAATATACATATATAATATAATATAAGTGCAAATCTCTCACAGGGCTGCTACAATTCCTCTGTCCAAGGAAGAAAAAGGTGATTTTTCTTTTAAGAATTTATAATTTGCAACCAGGGAAAAGCAAATCAGGGAACCTTACAATCATACACACATAACTATACAACCAACAAATTCTTTTAGTGGCCTGCTACAATTGCTCTTTCCAAGGAAGAGGAAGAAGAAGAAGAAGAGTTGTCTTTTCAAGAATTTTAAAATTATAACAAGTACTACGTAAAAGTAAAACAAAGAAATTAAAAATTATAAAGAACCCAAATTATCATAACTAATTTTTTTTCCTTTCAGAGGGTGGAGGACATGTATTTTTTTCATTTTTTTTTTTTAAAGGAAGTATAATTATAACAGTTACAAGGGAAACAACAGCTAACACAACAAGGCAAGAGAAAGCCAAAGAAAGAAGAAATCTAATTGGAGAATCAAACTAACCAAACAAAAAGATCACATCTCAGAAAGAAAGAAATCTATTTATTACCTTAAAACCCAAAATCAGAGAAATCATACTTGATAAAATTGACTAAAGTTTGAATAAATAACAAAAATTAGGACATACCCAAAAGATCACACGTATAAAATTAAAATTATTAAGAGAAATTGGTACCTTGAGAATTTTTTCAACCTTCCAAAACCTTTCATAAAGCTGCACCAAGCAATAGGACTGCAACAGAGAAGAACCAAAAACTCTTACCTTCTAATTAACCCAAAATCAGAAAAAGCAAAATTTAAAAAAACTGACTAAATTTTGAATAAAGAACAAAAAGATCACATGTATGAAATAAAAATTATTAAGAGAAATTAGTACCTTGAGAATTTTCCCCACCTTCCAAGACCTTTCAGAAAGCAGCACCAAACTAACCAAAGGACTGCAATAGAGAAGAACTAAAACATATTACCTCATAATTTAAAAAACAAAATGACTAAATTTTGAATAAATAACAAAAAATTAGGACATACCCAAAAGATTTCTGTATGAAATTAAAATTATTGAGAGAAATTGGTATCTTGAGAATTTCCCCAACCTTCCAATACCTTTCAGAAAGCTGCAGTAAGCAAAAGGGCTGCAAGAGAGAAATAAACTAACCCCTCTCTCTCTCTCTCTCTCTCTCTCTCTAGAAAACAAACACTCTCTCTCTCTCTCTCTCTCTCTCTCTCTAACCTCCACCTCCCTCCCTATACAACAATATGCTTCTCTCACCCAACATGGCTTTTGGAATTCAATATTGCCTTTTTCTCTCTCACACACTAGAACTTTGAATTTGGTTCCAATTCCTTAGCCAGGATTTACTTTTCTCCCCCACCTTTCACCTTTTGTGTTTTTATAATTTTCTTTTGGGTTGATCATTGATGATAATGAGGAGAGAGAAAGAGGAGCGAGGGAGGGGGGTTGGCCACTTTCTCACTCAATGGCTATGGCCACCTTCAACCAACTTTACTTGAATGGGAAGACTATTTAGACAGCAATACCAACTTGTTAAACGGTTAGGTTAGGTTGATCTCTTTACCACCTTTGATTATATTATCATTTATTACTTGGTGTGACAATGATTTTTTCATTTTTTTCTAATTTTTTTTTTTTAAATTTTTGTCCCACTCTACTGTGTTGTCGCGTTCAAAACACGCGACCACTGCATAAGAATGAGTCAGGCCTCTATCTGACTCTGGAATTATAACTTGTGGTTAAGAAGTTGAAATGTTATTGTGGTCCATCTCGGGACCATGTCAAATTCAGCTGAAATTTTTTCTTTTTTCATTTTCTTTTCATTTTTAACTCAGTAAAAAGTACACTCACAATCTCTCAATCTCTTACTATAAAATGCGAAGTAAGTAGGATCTATTTTAAAAATTGATGGATAAGTATCACTAAATTACAATCTTAGTTATGGCTAAATTTATGAGTTAAATACGAACATTTTATTATTAAAATAAAATATGCTTGTTAAAATTTGAAATTAAGAATCATTCGAATGTTTAATCAATTATTGTTTTAATGTCACTCGTAGTCTCAAACTCAAATTTGAATTTAAACTTAATATTGAGATTAAGCTCAAAATTAGTCAAATGAACATACGTACCTCAAATGCTAATATGTGAGATTGAATTTGAATGGACCGAATGTGAACATGTGTTAATTGTTCTTTTCATGTTTCCATTGAAATCAATTGGTATAAAGAAGAAAGCTCGACCCTCGGTTGTATTTTTTTAAGCATGATGTTTAATTTTCAGCACACTACTCTTGTTTTTTAACACTCTGGTTTTTAATGCATTAAATTTGATTAAATTAAGTAAATATAATAGTGTTGAATATAGAGGTAATGATGTTAAAAAAAAAAAAACTTACAAAATCAAGAATTACAGCAAATAATCCAGGCGACAAAAAAAAATAAAACAAAATAAATAGAAGAAGAAGAAGTTTGACGCAGCCAATTTTTAAGTGGTAGGAATTCATGCTTAGCGTCGTCAACAATTTCTTTGTTTTTTTGTGTTCCCGTGTCCAAGGAACAAAAGAATCCCATGTGCCCCAAAATATGGTACACATGCATCAATTAATACCAACTTAATATTTTTTGTCGTTTTTATTTTGATTTTATTTTTATTATACACGTCACTAAAAAACAACATAGTCATTAATATAATTCAATGCCTTCCAAAAAGTAGTCATTTTCTTTTTCCTTTTTACCTTTCGTTCTTTGGATATATATATATATATATATATATATATATATAAATCATGGAAATCCACTTGTTGACATAAATTCATTTCAACAGATGGAGTGCCAAAAAATTATGGTTTATGTGACTTATATAACAGATAAACTAGCTATGACATAAATGGATAATAATAAACAAAACTCGGTCTAAGTCATTTTTTTTTTTTTGTCGATTTTGATTTTTTATGTCACTTGTGTAAGAAATTTTGTTTCATTGAGTTGCACTCTATCTTCCCACTAAATGGTACAAGAGTGTGTGAGTGTTGGCGTATTTGGAAGTATCCTTCACTGTCCACAGTATATTTCTGTATATTTTTATATGTATTGTCGGATTTTTTAAAACATCTCATAATTCACTATTAATTTACTATTAAGTATTTCATAATTCACCACCAAATATATGCAATTCTTCTGTTTCAAATGCCATGTACAATTATCAGGAATTTTTTTTTTTGAATGACTAATGGCATTCGAACTTTCGACTTTCAATATCTGAGTTGAAAATCTTTATCATTTAGACTCCGTTTGTTTTGACCTAAAATTTTTTTTTTTAAAATTTTTTTTCTTTTTCAGATAAAATATTCGATTATAATCCATTGGGCGAGGCACATAAAATAATTTATCAAAAATTAATGAATAAATTATTTTTATTAAATTTTTATATTTTTTACTTCGTAAATATTTTATGACAATCAAAACATCAAAAAGTAAAAAAATATTTTCTAATTTTACATCCAAACAAATGAACCTAAACCATCACATATTTATATACTACCTCCGTCTCAAAAATAATGTCATATTTAGAGAATCGTGTTAGTTCAATTTGTGTGAGTCACGATTTTCTAAAAGTGACATTTCTTACAGGACGGAATATTTGTCGTTGAGTCTGCACCGCAAAGTAGGAGTGCCGGAGTGGTGGAGCGTTCATTTCACTTGCTATATGTTGTAGTGGAACCAAGCAAGAAATGGGATGATGCCGGCCTACCACTGTGTGAAGAACATATGGTAACTTAGTCCGGATCTAATTGATTCGTGAGGGTGTGGGCCACAGACACTCGATATTCCAGCCATTTGATTTGATCCAAGTGTTGCTCTGAATGTGAAACATCATTGTGTTTACAGGGTTTCATGTGGACTATATATAATATGATGAGAGTACATTGCATTATATCACCCTCTCATGTGTACCACTGGCATGTCACACCATATCACACATTCAGACTAGCAACGTCTACCATGATGTTAACCTCTGGACGGCTAATTAATCTGAATTTAATTGATTTTTCGATATGTTTGTTTTTTATTGTTGATTTTGGTTGGAAATTTTCAACGCGGTCTCAATTCTTATTAGGTACATTTTATATACGTTTTGTTTTATGCGTTTTGTTTTTAACTAAATCAGAAATAGGTATTTTTGTTATAGGCGTGTTTTGAAAAAAAATCGAAAATATGTTTAGGAACGATGTTTTGCTTTGAAATGTTTAGGCCCGAGTTGCGCTACTGTTATGGTTTTAGGTCATGATTCATGAACAGTTGTCAAAATAAGAAAAAATAATTTTTTTGTGTTATGGTTTTAGGTCATTGTTCACAAAAATGTTTTAGCACTGTGTAAAATAAAACAAGGTCGCACCAAATATGTTTTTGTTGCCAAAATCGACACTAATAGCCAAAAAATAAAAATAGCAGAAACAAAACGCATGTCAAACGGATAATACTTTCAATTGCATTTCTATTAAAAAACCGAATAAGTTCAACCCGTGGGGTTGAGTCAACTTATACTAGTCCAATCAAACCCAATCTAACCCGAAAAACTCCGGACCAAATTAAGTTTAATCCGATCTTAGAAAAATTTAATGGACTAAAACTCGAGTTACCTACTAAGATTAAAGATCAGGTTACAGTGAAATGGACTAAACAAAAATTTGTACTTCTAAATTTCAAAAAATTTTACAATATTCCGAGGGTACTGAATCATCCAATAAGTAAGTCCCACCACCACATCTGAAGAAGAAATTTTCCTATTTCCAATCAGAATAATAAAAAGAGCTGTCGAAACTCATATGGTAACTTAGTCTCGACCTTACCAGTGGATGAGAATGTGGGGGCTATTGACACAATTGATGAGAATGTTGCTCTGTATGTGAAGAGCATCGTTGTGTTTACAATCTTTCATACTATATATATATATATATATATATATATATATATAATATAGGTGTATTGATTGCTGTAACATTATACTACACTATATCACCCTCTAATGGGCACGTGAGTAGTGGCCCCACTATATGTACACATTAGCCATAGAAAAAATCTACCGTGAGGTTTGGTTGCTTCTTTTTGCTATAACCACTCTTCATACTCGTAGCACCAAAAACTACGCACACGCCACGTAATCCGATATTTCTTTCTTGTTGAAATAAATGGTCAAATAATTATAGAAACAAAAAAAAAAAAAAAAATCATATGACATACATGTTGGTGTTAGCCAAAGTCATCGTTTACTCTGATCAAAAGCAATCAACGGCGTGCAATCCTTGTTCAAGAATCAAAAACATTTTCAGAATCAAAATTCTCTCACCCTTTTTCTTTTCTATTTTATATTACAATTTCATCACATTTATCATCTATAAAAATTGTATAAAATTGCGTCAATTTGATAAATATGTGCCGACATATAATACTTTTGAGTATCGTTAAATTTGTATAGTGCAGTACGATATATTGGAGGAGATTCAGTTATGTGACAACATGTGATGCTTTTGAGTGTCGATAAATTTGTATAGTGCAGTACGATATATTGAAGAAGGTTCAATTTCGATGCTTTGACTTTAATTTTTTTATCTTCTGATCAATTTCACAAGATTCTTTTTGAATTAAAATTAGTGCATACTGTGCTTGACACTAACTAAAACATATTAGGTATATGTGTGTGTGTGTGTGGGGCCAAAAACAATTAAAAAGAATTCTTTAAAAAAAAAAAAGTATAACCAGGCTTAGAGTAAGTAAATGACCTTCATAATGGTGATGGGCTGTATCCACTATAAAAAAATATATATATGTATTTGCAACTATATATATATATATATATAAGTATATTTTCCTAAGTCGGATGTTGTAAGCATTCTTGGAATGACATAATTGAAATAAATGTTGAATAAGATACTTAAAACCTGAGGCCACCATAGATAATGCGTGCAATGTCCAGTGTCAAAAAATACTCATTACGTTAAGAAAACGTGTATAATTATTATTATTATTATTATTATTATTATTATTATTATAATAGCTTTAAGACGGAAATATTACCGTTCAAAGTCAGTCAAGTACTGTTGCCGCGGCTTTTAGTGGTATTGAGTTGGCGTTTAAAACACGATTCTAAATGAATCGACAAATATACAGTAGATAATTAGATATTTTTAATTAAATTAATATATATGTATATATATATGTATATAATATTGATTGAGATTGAGATTCAATATAGCACCGTCATATCTGCCAATGTTATTATTGATTGTTAAACTAAAGTCCCTCAATTAAATATATAAGTAAACATTATAGTTTTGTACGTAGTATATGATATAATAATGACGACAAATAAATCAATTCTCACATTATGGAAATTTGTACAGTCTAGTTCTGTCCTTAATGACATGGTTATGAAAATTGTTTATGAATGGAGGAGTGGGTATGATATAAAATTTTAAATCTGTCGGAGGTTACGAGACTAGAAAAAAAAAATT